AGCCGAAGTATCCCGCATCGACCAGCGGATGCCATGGGACACTGCTCGGCCACAAGCTGCGAATCCGCGAGTCTGCTTTTTTTTGGTGATTTGTGTCTAGATGCTTTCTTCTGTCCTGCCTTTAGGGGAAACAGGCTAAATTAATGTTCTTCTCTGCAGAGCTGGAAGTAAAACGGGGTAGGCCAGTTGCTCGGTGTTGTGTTTTAACCCAGCAGGCAACTGAAGGCCACCCAGCTGCTCGCGCTCCCCCTCCCTCAGTGGGATGGGGGAGAGAATCGGGGAAAAAGTAACCCCCGTGGGTTGAGATAAAGGCAGCTTAATAAAGCAGCAGAGGAAAAGAATAACAATAATGGTAAGAGAATATACGGAATGTACAAACAAGTGAGGCACAATGCAGTTGCTCACCACCCGCTGACCGATGCCCAGCAGCAATTGCTGCCCCTGGCCAACTCCCCCCAGTTTCTATACTGGACATGATGTCATATGGTCTGGAATAGCCCCTGGGCCAGTTGGGGTCAGCTGTCCTGGCCGTGCCCCCTCCCAGCTCCTTGTGCCCCTGGCAGAACAGGGGAAGCTGAAAAGTCTTTTCCTGGTGTGAGCCCTGGTCAGCAACAACCAAACCGTCAGGGTGCTAGCAACATTCTTATCCTAAACCCAAACCACAGCGCTATGTCAGCTACTGGGAAGAAAATTAACTCTATCCCAGCCGAAGCCAGGACACTTGGACAAAATTAAGGGGTCTTGCTGCAACGCAGGAAAAGCGTCGCTCCACATCATGCTAACCTGCGCTGTGGAACGGCAAACACGCTGCCTGCTTCTACTACTGTTGCAGTGAGGCCAAAACTTGCCTCAGACTGCCTGTTGTGAAGGAGGAATTACATTTTCATTCTTAATCTTGTTATCAAGGCAACACTTGATGGTTACATGGAGCTGTGTTCTTTGTCTTAATGATGTTTACTAACGGGTCTTAACTGGCATCCTTTATTTTCTTGAATTCTTTGGATTGGATGTCACGTTACTTAGAAGAATACTGTTCAGGCAAGGAAAACATGCCCAGAAAGAAGATGATGGAACTGGAGGATGGCTCTGACTGTGTGATACCTTGTGGCACCCTTCTGGGCTTTATCTAGTTCTTGCCTTTAATTTGTACAAAGAATTTGGGCGACAGGATGGCTGTCTCGCTGGCCTCTAGAATAGGCAAAGATCAAAAAAATAAATGCATGAGCTTTTTGCTCAGCCTCAAGTGATGAAGCACACGGAGAGTCGCGAGCTGCCCTAGGTGTGGTGACTCTGGCAGAGCTGTGCTCTGAGAAGCACAGGTAGCTGGGCTCACGTGATGGTTGTGTCTCAGGACACGCAGTTGTCCCCGTGCCTGCGTGCTTTGTCGACGTTTGTAGCAGCAGCACAGGCCGAGGGCGGGCATGGCCCTGGTTTGGTTGAGGTATTTCAGTGCTGACCCGAGGACTAATGTCGCATCTCATCTCTTTTCAGCGCGTCGTCTTCTTGAAGCAGCTTGCTACTGGCCTTTTGCTTGTTACAGGTGAAAAACTTCAGTGTGATGATTTTTGTTTGTCCTGGGTGGGGTTTGAGGGGGTGTGTTTTGGTTTTTAAGTTCAGGTTTGTCTCTGGGGTCAGTAGTGCTACAGATCTGCATGCAGGTTGTTTGGCACATCACGTGTTCGTGTAACTATGTGGAATCGTGTTTTGGGGCTTTCCAGGGCGGTGGAGGGGAGGTGATTAAGCTTCAATGCCTGGAAGAAACCAGGAAGCATTTTTTGGCTTTTCTAGAGGCTGTGGGGAAGGGCTTTGATAGTTCAGGTTTTAGCTGTAGGCATCTCTGAAGAAGCCAGTCATCTCCTACCCTACAAAAACTCGGAAGCAGTGGTTGTGGCCAGGAAAGCTAACCTTGTTCTCTCGTCTGTCTTCCCTCTGCCTTTAGGACCCTTGGTTGTCAATCGTGTCCCTCTGCGTAGGGCCCATCAGAAATTTGTTATTGCTACATCTACAAAGGTTGATATCACTGGAGTGAAAATTCCCAAGCATCTCACTGATGCCTACTTTAAGAAGAAGAGGCTGCGTAAGCCCAAGCACCAGGAAGGCGAGATCTTTGACACCGAAAAAGAAGTAAGGAGCATGATTGTTCATTCCTTATGAATGTCCTTGTTACTTAAAGCCAGGCTGGAAAGGGGGAAACACCATGAAACAAATGGACAATTTAATTTGAAGTGGTCCTCAGTAAAGTGAGGTAATGCCAATAAAATGAGTTAATACAGCAGTGTTGAGATAAACCCCTTCTAAATTTGGGGATTCTTTCCTGCTTATACCTTAGCAGAAGGGCAGCAGTGATTATTCCAGTTAAACGTCTTATGCTGTTACTGTTTTGATACTGCCAACAGCATGCTGCTGGCGCTGGTATCTGCAGCGTAAGCCAAGCAAGTGGCTTCAGTTCTCCCTGCCACCTCCGGTCTCCTACCACCTTTCCCATCTTTAGAACAAATGGAGAAAAGATTTCCTGAAAATGCCAGAACTCAGGGGTTTGCCCTGAATTTTCTCCTCTCTGTAGAAGAGCCTGAAGTCATTCTACAGGGTTTTAACGTTATTCTTTGTACTTCCTAGAAATACGAGATAACGGAGCAACGCAAGTCAGATCAGAAGGCAGTGGATTCACAGATCCTTGCACGGATCAAGAAGGTGCCTCAGCTCCGGGGGTACCTGCGTTCTACATTCTGTCTCTCAAATGGCGTCTATCCTCACAAATTGGTGTTCTAGCTTGTTCCGAAAACACCACATTAAATTTGAAGGGAGAAAAGCAAGGATTTCTGGTGTCTTCATTGCAATCCGTAATATTTGCAGAAATCTTGCAACGCGTGTTACTGAAGGGATTGGGAAAATGGTCGTGGGGTGAAATCCTGAGGGACTGTACGTAGATGACGAGAATTTTGAGTGTATAAGGGTTTGGGTGTGCGGGTTTTGTTTGGTTGGGGGTATCTGGGATTTTTTGGGGTTGGGTTTGTGTTTTATTTAGTATAACCAGAAAGGAATTAGCACTTGAATTTCAGCTTTCTTAACTTTGAATGAGTTAAGGACAAAAAAAAATCAAACCAATTTTCTTCTGGGAAAAGAGGATATACATACTGGCTTGGCTACCCAGAATAAGGGTCCAACCTGACATCTGCGCTGGCGTTATTTCTCTGCACCCTTACTGCTGAAACCAGGGCCTCAGGTGTCCTTTGTGAAGAACCAGGTCTTGGCAGCTCACCGCTGCTAGGTAACTCGCTGGCGTTTCAAAGCTTGCGTACAGCTTTGTTGAGATGGAGTTTCTGACAAACAGCTTTGCTCTGTCAGTCACCACATAAATTTTAGCAAATGCAGAAACTTTTTAGAGGCATTTCAGGAGCTGTGCCTTGCATTTTAAAGTGGAAACACTGGGCATGGTCTAGAGTTTTGCAGGGTAACATATTCCTGGAACCATAACAAAATTTGGAATGTTGGTCCCTTCCCAAATCCTGTATTTTTTTTTTTCCTGTTCTGTTTTATCCATGTGGGATGTAATGCTAATTTTAGTCAGGAAGAATACCTGCTTAGATCAAAAAGGAAGAGCATGATTCTTAATTCTGTAGGTTCAGAAATGGAATTCAAAAGCAGCAGCTGCTTCTGTGAAAGGCAAGCATTTTATGCTGGGAGACTTCTGGCATCTCAACATTTCTTCCTATCTCAGAAACCGGCAGAAAGGGAGTTGAGAAAGTTTGTCCTGTCTGTTTTTTCTCTGTTGAGGTCAGTTACCAGATATCTGTGAGAGGATGCTTGGGTAGCAGTAGCTCTGTTCTTACAGGAGCTGAGGATGTACATACTAACAAATCTGGCACGCTTGAGCTCTTTCTTAGCCAGACTTAGGCAGGAAACGAGGCTTATATAACTGCACCATCTGTCTTCCCATTAATTCTTTGCTGAAAGTAGCCGATAGGGTCAAACTTGATGGGGAGCAGAGATTTCATCAAATTCATACAAGCTTCATGAAAAGGGGATAGAAAAGGGAGCAATACCACCCGTGCTGAGGTGGGAGCCTCCCTGTTATGCACTAGGCATGTTCACTGGGAAGGAGGAATTGGGCTTCCAGTGCTCTGGAGCCAAGGAAAAAACTCAAAATGCCCCCAGAACACCTGGCCTGGTGGATTCTCGCACCAAGGGGCTGGCTGGCGTTGCAGAGTATGGAGGTCTGTAGCTCTGGTGACTCTTCCACCATCTTCCTCTTGATAATTAACGTGTTAAATATTAG